GATATACTCCTACCTCAGGACCTTTGTACTTGCTCTTACTGCTGAGTTGCTGTTCCCCCAGATTTCTGTGTAGAACATTTCCCTACTACCTTGAAGTAGTTACTCAACTGTCTTCTCATTGAGGCTTCTCTGACTTCCCTGTCTAACCCAATCCAACACTTCTTATCTCCCTTCCCTGCTTAATTTTTTCCCCTTCTCCTTTATCACTATCCAACCTTACTATATAATGTCTTTCTTATTTGTCTTGTATTGTCTGTCTTTTCACTAGATTCTAGAAGCATGAAGGGGTTTTTGTTTGTTTTATTCACTTTTCTGTCCTTGGTGTCTAGAACAGTGTCTTGTGTGTAGTCAGTACCTAGTATATGATTTGTTGAATGTATGAATGTTTAAAGAAATTTTCTGAGAGACTATTGATAAGTACTCACAGTTGATTCATTCTGGGTGCTAGGGTCAACCCTAAAATGTCATTGGTGGCTCTGAACTGAGAGATCAGTCAGTTTAGACATTTTGCATCTTGCTTCTAAGCTTCATTTAATGCAGCGTAAAACAGAGATGCGATGGTATTGTTATTAAACTGATAAACATATTTACTCTGGAAACAGAAAGATCTCTTTCCCCAAATCTTAAAAATGCTTTATTTGAGGTAGCGTTTAAAAGGTTGGTGTGTTGGGGCCAGTCCCGTGGCTGAGTGGTTGGGTTCGCGTGCTCCGCTTCGGCGGCCCAGGGTTTCACCAGTTCGGATCCTGGGCGCAGACATGGCACCGCTCATTGAGCCATGCTGGAGTGGTGTCCTGCACCCCACAACTGGAGGGACCTACAACTAAAGAAGTACAACTCGGTACTGGGGGGCTTTGGGGAGAAAAAGAAAAAGAAAATCTTTAAAAGGTTGTTGTGTTAACAGAAGACTTTTTGTGGAAGACAATTTGGATGTTTGCTGTTGTCCATGTAAAAATTAAGTTTCAGAAATTAATCAGTATTGGTACTTCAGAGTTTCGTCCAAGGAGTTTTTTTAAATCAAAATAATATATGTAGTAATTAAGATTGTGTGGTATTGGCAAAACAATAGACAGATCAGTATTACACAATAGAGAGCCCAGAAATAGACCTACATAGATATAGTCAACTGATCTTTGACAAAGGAGCAAAAGTGATGGAGAGAGGATAATCTTTTCAACAAATGGTGCTGGAACAATTGGACACCCCCATGCAACAAAATGAATCTAGACACAGACCTTATACTGTTCACCAAAATTAACTCAAAGTGTATCACATACCTAAATGTAAAATGCAAAACTATGCACACTCCTAGAAGATAACTTAGGGAAAATCTAGATAACCTTCAGTTTGGTAATGACTTTTTAGAAATTTACTCAAAATGTATCACACACCAAAATGTAAAATGCAAAACTATAAAACTCCTAGAAGGTAGCATAGGGGAAATCTAAATAACCTTGAGTTTGGTAATGACTTTTTACATATAACACTGCTGGCCTGATATTTGAAAGGATCAATAAACAGAACTTCTTTAAAATTAAAAATTTCTACTCTTCATGAGACACTGTCAAGAGAATAAGATAAGCCACAGATTTGGAGAAAATATTTGCAAAAGGTGTATCTCATAAAGGAATTTTATCTAAAACATACCAAGAACTCTTAAAACTCAACAATAAGAAAACAACCCAATTAAAAAAACGGACAAAATACCTCAACAGACACCTTACCAAAGAAAATATACAGATAGCAAATGTGCATGTGATAAGATGCTGCATATCATATGTCATCAGGGAAATGCACATCACTGTATACCTATTAGAAAGGCTAAAATCAAGATCACTGACAACACCAAATGCTAAGGAGGATGTGGAGCAACAGGAGCTCTCTTTTTGTTGGTTGGGATGAATAATGGTACAGCCACTTTGGAAGACAGTTTAGTGGTTTCTGTAAAAGTTAAACCTACTCTTACCATACCATTCAGTGATTGCACTCCTTGGTATTTACCCAAAGGAGTTGAAAACTTCTGTCCACACAAAAACCTGCACATGGATGTTCGTATCAGCTTTGTTCACACTTTACAAATACTGGAAGCACCCAAGTTGTCCTTTAGTAGATAAGTGGATACATAAACTGTGGTACATCCAGACAATGGAATACAATTCAATACTAAAAACAAATGAGCTATCAAGCCATGAAAAGACATGGAGGAACCTTAAATGCATATTACTAAGTGGAAGAAGCCAATCTGAAAAGCTTATGTATTATATGAGCCCAACTATATGACTTTTAGGAAAAGACAAAACTGTGGAAACCAGAAAAGATCAGTAGTTGTGAATAAGGGGAGAGAGATGAATAGGCAGAGCACATAGGATTCTTAGGGTAGTGAAAATAATCTGAATGATATTATAAAGATAGATGTATGTCATTATACATTTCTTCAAACCCATAGAACGTACAACACCAAGAGTGAACCCTAAGGTAAACTACGGACTTTGGGTGATTATGATGTGTCAATGTGGGTTCATCCTTGGTTAAAAAAAGTGTACCATTCTGGTGAGTGATGTTGATAATAGGGGAGGCTGTGCACGTGTCGGGGCAGGGGATATATGGGAAATCTCTGTACTTTCTTTTCAATTTTGTTGTAACCCTAAAACTGCTCTAGATAAATAGAGTGTTAAAAAAGGGGGAGTGCCTAATAAATGTTGCTCCACTCAGGGTTCTGAGCCTTAAGATATCTGCCTGGGCACCCAGTGTCCAACTGTGCTTGTGAAATAAAATCTGTCCATCCCAGATCTGCTCTTCGTCATCGTTCAGCCGCAGAGGAGCTTGCACAGCTCATCCACATGCAGGAGGCAGCCTGAGAGCTTCCTCCTTAACACCATCAAGCAGGAGCAAGATGGACTTTGTTTCAGAAGAAAAATTACTGAATCCCCACGTTTAGGAGACTTCTCTTCTCAGTCTAGCAGAGTGAAGGCTAGCAAAACCAACACAGTCTAAGCCTACACACTATACGTGGCGAAGCTGAGCTTGTGCTACGTTAAGCTTTTATAACTTTTTTTTTTGTTGTTTTTTTGTTTTTTTTGGAGGAAGATTAGCCCTGAGCTAACTACTGCCAGTCCTCCTCTTTTTGCTGAGGAAGCCTGGCTCTGAGCTAACATCCGCGCCCATCTTCCTCTAGTTTATACGTGGGACGCCTACCACAGCATGGCTGCCAAGCAGTGCCATGTCCGCACCCGGGATCCGAACCAGCGAACCCCGGGCCGCCGAGAAGCGGAACGTGCGAACTTAACCGCTGCGCCACCGGGCCGGCCCCAGATTTTATAACTTTTTTATAGCCTCACATTCTAAGATGGTATTTATGCCCAGGAAGTTTTTCTTGAAGGAGTGGGTGAATTTTCATTTACAGTTTGTGTCGTGTATCGCCAATAAAGAGTTGATTTGTATGCCAGTAACAGAAAACTTGATAAATACTGACTTAAGCAAGTGAGGATTTACTTTTCTCATGTAATGTGAAGTCCAGAGATAGGCAGTCCATGGCTGATGCAACTGCTCAAAGGATGTCATCATCAAAAGCTATCTTCCTAGCTTATGGTTTTTGTCTTTATGGTCACAAGATGGCTGTTGTATCTCTGGAGACTTCAGTTTTTGGAAGGAAGAAGAGGGAAAGATAAAGGGAAGTCTCTTTTTACGAGGTTTTGCATTTTTCTGGTAGACAGTGCCCTCTCAGAGATTGCTCACTACATTTTGTTGGCCAGAACTGTCATAGTTGGTATGACTTGGTATTTAACTTACAGTATCTGGAAGTAGTATAGAGTAGTGGTTAAGAGCATGGACCTGAGGGACCAGCCCGGTGGCATAGCAGTTAAGTTCGTGTGTTCTGCTTTGGTCGCCCTGGGTTCACTGGTTCGGATCCCGGGCGCGGACCTATGCGCTGCTTATCAAGCCATGTGACAGGTGTCTCACATGTAACGTAGAGGTTGATGGGCACAGATGTCAGCTCAGGGCCAGTTTTCCTCAGCAAAACGAAAAGGATTGGCAGCAGATGTTAGCTGAGGGCTAATCTTCCTCAAAAACATGATAAACTCATTTTTTAAAAACAAGAATGTGGACCTGAGTTTGAAAATTGGCTGTGTTATTTCCTAGCTATGTAATTTTAATACCTCTTGTGCTTCAATTTCTCAACTATAAAATGGGTCTAGTAATAGGTACCTACCAACACTTTGTTGTTGAAAGGATTAAATGAGTTAATATTTGTTAGTGCTATTTTAAGTATTAGCTATTATTACCATTTTCATTATCTAGAACTATTGAAATTAGAATTGTAAATTTATCACACAAGAAATTAATTTTCTTTGATATAGGAAATAAAAGAAAGCATTTAGATTAGCAGATCTGGGCAGGTGCTTTTGAGTGCAAGGATGATTGAAGAAGATGGTAGAACTTTCTTAGGGACTCTCCTGATTGCCTTGTACTATTAAAAATTATGGGTGAGGGGGCCGGCCCAGTGGCACAGCAATTAAGTGTACACGTTCCTCTTCGGCGGCCCAGGGTTCCCTGGTTCGGATCCTGGGTGCAGACATGGCACCGCTTGGCAGGCCATGCTGTGGTAGGCGTCTCACATATAAAGTGGAGGAAGATGGGCATGGATGTTAACTCAGGGCCAGTCTTCCTCAGCAAAAAGAGGAGGATTGGCTGCAGTTAGCTCAGGGCTAATCTTCCTCAAAAAAAAAATTATGAGTGAGTTAAAGTATTAGGGCCATTTTAACTTATCCATTTAATTCATCTTAGAGCTTGATGGGCCTTACATCTTGAACAGATTGGCATTTTACTAGCAATCCTCTAATGTTCATTCAGCTCAATAGAAATTCCATCTCTCATTGATAGAATGTTTGAAGACTTAGCTATGTATTGAAACATAATTTTGTTGGTGGTGTTATTGGCCTTTTTCAGTTTGTAATTACTTTACTTAAAAAAAATGTATCAATTTTTTTCTATTTTCTTTTTAGCCCTATCTGCTTTGATATGATTGAGGAAGCATACATGACGAAATGTGGCCACAGCTTTTGGTAAGATGACTTTGTTTTAGCGAAATTGTCTTTTGGCAGTTTTTAACTTGTGTGTAAATGGAGCCTGTAAGAAGTTAGTTTTTTAAGTAATTTTGGTCATCTTTTAATCATATTATTTCTTTGACATATCCTTACAGGTTCAGCAGCTCAAGGCAGTTAGCACATGGTTGGTGCATAATTTCTGTGAAATACTTAGATTTACCATTGGCTTTACAGATGGATTTTAAAATTTTCGCGTTTGTTAATTGTTAAAGAGCTTTGACTGCTGTTTTAGAAAATTGAGGGGTTGCTGGGCCATCAGGACAAAGCACGTAGTCCCTGCGAAGCACTGTTAACTCACTTGTGGGGCTAGATGTGAGGCCCAGTAAAGCAGGCTAGAAAGTCATTGGGAAAGGATATAGAGGATTAAAGATTGTGTGTTCTCTTCTTTAACACATTCTCAGTTATATGTCACATTAATCTGTATATTATAAAGGTGTTTTAGTTGTGGTAAAATACACATAACGTAAAATTTACCATCTTAACCATTTTTACCATCTTAACCATTTTTAATTTAGGTAGTGTTAAGTATGTTCACATTGTTGTGCAATCAATCTCCAGAACTTTTTCATTTTACAAAACAAACTCTATATCCATTAGACAACAGCTCTCCATTTTCTCCTCCCCGAAGTCAGTCATCATTCTACTTTCTGTTTCTGTGAATTTGACTACTCTGGATAACCTCATATAGGTGGAATCAAATGGTGTATGTCATTTTGTGACTGGCTTATTTCACTTAACATAATGTCCTCCAGATTTATCCACGTTGTAGCATGTGTCAAAATCTCTTTCCTGGGGCCGGCCCCATGGCAGAGTGCTTAAGTTCGCGTGGCTCTGCTTCAGCAGCCCAGGGTTTCACAGGTTCAGATCCTGGGCGCTGACATGGCTGACCGCTCCACCAGGTCAGGCCATGCTGAGGTGGTGTCCCACATAGCACAACCAGAAGGACCTACAACTAAAAATATATACAACTATGTATTGGGGGGGCTCTGGGGAGAAGAAGGAAAAATAAAATCTTAAAAAAAATTTTCTTTCCTTTTTAAGGCTAAATAATATTCCCTTGCGTGTATGTATTTTGTCCATTCATCGGTTGATGGACACTTGTGTTGCTTTTACCTCTTAACTATTGTTAATGGTGCTGCTTTGAACATTGGTATATAAATAAATCTTCTTGAGACCTTGCTTTCAGTTCTTTTTTTTTTGAGGAAGATTAGCCCTGAGCTAACATCTGCTGCCAATCCTCCTCTTTTTTGCTGAGGAAGACTGGCCCTGAGCTAACATCCGTGCCCATCTTCCTCTACTTTATATGTGGGATGCTTTCCACAGCATGGCATGCAAGCGGTGCCATGTCCACAGCCGGGATCCGAACCGGGGAACCCCGGGCCGCTGAAGCGGGACGTGCACACTTAAGCACTGCGCCACCAGGCTGGCCCCGTTTTCAGTTCTTTTGGCTGTATATCCAGAAGCAGAATTGCTGGATCAAGTGGTAATTCTCTGTTTAACGTTTTGAGGAACCTCCATACTGTTTTCCATGGCTGCAGTTACTATCTTACATTCCCACCAACAGTGCACAAGGGTTCTTATTTTTCTAAATCCTCGCCAACACTTATTTTCTGTTTTATTTTTAATAGTAGCCATCCTAATGAGTAAGTAATCTATGTTTAATTCTTTTTGTTTGTTCATTTACTTATTTTTTGATTGAGATGGTATATTCTGCTTGCAATCAATCATCTTCATAAATTATTGTTGGTATATTATTTTAATCTTAGTATTTCTATTGTGTTCTAATAGTCCTTATATTCTAATTCTTATTGGAGTAAGACCCATAATTTTATACAGAAGTTGAATAGTTGAAGATGCTGTCTAGTAGGTTGATATCCATTAATTAGGAAGAGTACTAGGTGTTAATCAGCAGTCTGTAAGTACTTTAGTTTGATTTGGAGCGTGATGCTTCATTGATAGGTATATCCAATCTGCTAGTCATTTAAAAAAGAAGTTTAGATTAAAAATAGCTTTCTTAGCTTGCATCATCTATGTTCTTTATTAAAATAAAAGTTATTAAAGTGATAAGAGCGGTATGTATACTCTTGGCTGCAAAAGCAACTTTTATTGTAACAGAAAGATGTAGTGTGAAATGTAAATGTCTTCCTTCCCTTAGCCTTTCTTGTCCACCTCCTCAAAGGTTCTTACTGGTGAGGAATGATTGTGTATTCCTTTAGAATCTTTCTGCTGGTGTTTTAAAAAAGGCCATCTTGCCTGGTATATCATTGCATTGAGATTATTACGGTTCATGAATCACTTTCTGCTGTGTATTGCTACTGAAACTTCGGTCATGTGGGTCTTTGTTTTAGGCTGTTGCGTGCATGCTCTTGTTCTTTTCAGGCTGATTGTTTAGCAGTAGTGTTCTCTTTGGTCCTTAATTGATCCAGCACCTTAGCATTCCGTAGGAAACCATGTACTTCTCTTAGACACTTTGGATTTTGATCACTCTGAAAAATTGAGTGATTTAGAGTAGGTTTTCTCAACCTTGGTGGTATTGACATATTAGACCACATAATTCTTTGTTGTAGGTGACTATCCTGGATGTTGTAGATTGTTTAGCAGTTTCTCTTGCCTCTACCCAGGAGCAACTCCTCTCCTCCCAATTGTGACAACCAAAAATTTCTCCAGGTATTGCCAGGTATCCCTTAGGGGACAAAATTGCCCTCAGTTGAGAACTACGATATAGATACAGAGCTAAAAGAGCAAGCTCTTGAAGTTGGTAGACTAGAATTCTAGTTCTGGTTCTAAAACTTTACCTTGTCTGGTCACTCAACCTCTCCTGCTGCTGCACTTTACCCTGTCCTCCCATCCTCTTCCTGCTGCTTCATCTCCTTTTCTTTCACAGATTCAGAGGTGTTGAAATGTGAAACATTATAAAGTGAGGTTTTAATTTTTCCTAACTGCCTCTAACTTATATATTCTAACATATATTCACTGTGGCATTTAAAAAAGGCACTGAAGAGTCTATGTTATGAAGTGTGATAAATTACTGATTGGCTTTACAACTAGACAGGCCTGGCCTTTTCAGTGAGTCCTATAATCTTAATGATATGTCTTCAGGTCATTGTTGGAAAGCCACATTGATTTCTTAAATACTTTTTTTTTCTTCAAATAAAAATAGTTTAAGCTTAGATCGTTGTTACAATTCATGTTATCATGTTACACCCGAGGTGAATTTGTTTTCAAATACCTACCAGAGAGCAGATTTTGGTAGGATAGGGACTATAATGTTCGCAGGAGCTAATAAACCTGGAGGCTGGCAGTCCCATTGTCAGGCTTGCTAAACTGAGAAAGCATTTTTGCACTTTTATTTAAAGCAAAAGCTCATAATTATTTACCCTATCCTAACATGTGAAGCCTCTGGAATTTCATTCATTAACAATAGCCTGTTGAATCAACTCTTTGCTAATTTGTACCCTGGCTGATAATCTGGAGCCAAACAGTATACCACTTCGAAGCTCCATCCAAATTATCAACACAATCAAATTGGACCACATCAACTGTTTATCCTTTGTCCCACTTATAAATGGTGAGTCTTTTCTGATAACAAGTTGGAGACAATATAGCAGGAACTTCTTTTACTTTATTCATTCCCATTTGGCAGTCAGCCTGCTATTGGCTGTAGTCTAACTGAAACTTAATGAGATAGCAAAAAATCTAGCTTCTGTATCATATAGAGAGAAGGTTTGCTCTTTTCTTTTTGCCCCTTTGCTGCCTCCAGCTTGTCCCCTGCTCTTTGCTTCTCAGACCTCATGTTTACCAAGCCCTGATTTACTATTTAGCTTTAATTATAAATTAATTCTAATTAACAGGGTCCCTCAGCATTGTCGTCTCCCAGCATACCTGTGAGCATATGTGACACCCAGCATATCAGCCTGGGTGTCAGCTTGCTTTTTGGGACTTTTGGCTAAATCCATCATCTTGCACTTTGCTATTAGTCTTTATAGCTGTTTATTATATGTGACCACTGGTATTGATTTGTCCTTGCTGTTCTTATTATGATCCCTTCTTTTTTTGAGAATTTTCTGGTTATTTACAGTTTTCTGTCTATATATACTCATCCCTGTTTGCACAGACAGAAGAAGATATTTCTGTTTTGTAGGCGAGTATATACTTAATAGAAGAAACAGAGCAGCCATATACATCTGTAGAGAAATGTTCATATTTTCTTATAGTTATACACTTAGTAGAGGACACAGGCACACGTTTATGTCAGCACACTCTGGTACTGAATAATTTTTTTAAGATTTGCAGTGTGATTAGCTATTGAAAACTTCTCAAGTGGACCCAAGATATATATCCCTCTTAGCTCTTTATGCCCTCCTATTTTGGTCACTAGTGTAGGCGCTTATCCTTCTTTTGGAATCCAAAGCATGGTGTCTGGGCTGGTGTTGGTCACGTAGATTAGATGAATGAGAAGAGTTAATGCGGTAAGGAATGTCAAGATTTTCCAATAGCATTTTATATGACCCAGAGGGCAGCAGAAGTATGTTTCTTTTTTGCTTATATCTGTTTTTTTCCACGCATTCAGCATTTATTGAGTTCGAACACTGTAGCAGAATATTGTGTTGGACATTGAGGGTACAGAGATGAGTAAAACAAATAAATCTCTGCTTTTAGTGAGCAAGTAGAAGAGGGGCTGACAGTCATGTGTACAGAAAAGTACAAAATACGAGAGTTACTGTTTCTCAAACTGGGGTAGGTCCACCCTGGGGTGGTAGTGAGGTAGTAGATGCTTTAAGATAAACTTGATGCATCTTGTTGTCACTTTAGTTTTACTCAGCAGAGTGTAATTTGATAGGTTTTAATTTTATAGTATAGATTGATGGATATTATCAAGTGCATTGCAGAAAGTCACTCGAACTTTTGTTGCTGAGGGCAGTTCCTTTTGGCTACGTCCCAGAGTATTTTTTCTGCTAGGAAAGGATGATGTGGAAGTAGGCCTACTGACAAAGGATATGATTAGGATGCTGAAGAAAGGAGAGGATGATGTCCTACTAGATTCTGCGATAACTTCTTATATTGACCAACTTTTTCTCTGGCTGAACAACTTAGCTTGTTCTTATTGTCATATTATTTGCTCATTTTCCAACTACCATTTCTTTACAAAGTCAGTTGCTGAAATTTGAAATGTCCTTCTTCTGTTTATATGTCAACCTGTCTCCCATCTTTAATAACCTTTCCAAATTCTCTCCTTCATGACTTGCTTTAGTTGGACTTGCAGATTTTTTTAAGGGTTAAATCTTGTCATGTGGGAATATTTTCTGGTATTAACTCATTTCCTTTTTTTGTAAGCAGACTATAAATGTTTCCATGTTTGGGCTCTTAATCTGTTGTATTTGCATATCTACTTTATGCTTCTCCCTTGCAATAAAAATGAAAACAAAAACATTTAGTCTGTTATTTCCTCCATTGAAATTTTCGTGTAGGAAATTTCCTGTCAGATATGGAGCTTGTCTTCTGGTAATATCGTGATCCTAGCATTGTCGTAGTTGCAAGAGGTGATGATACTGTTTCTGGAACACTGTGCAAGTCATTTGTTCAATATATATTTGAGTATTATGTGCTAGGCATTTACTCTGATCTTTAGGCCCCTATGCTATGCTAAAGACCACTGCTACATTGATTCTCTATAATGTCCTCCTTTTTGCTTATCTTAAAAAGTGACAAATGTGAGATGAGATAGTAGTTGGTAACCAGAACAGAGAAACTTGGTGGACTTAGGTTTTGTTTTGATAAGGTGGAGGGAAGTGGGAAGATATAAAAATCAGCTTCAGTTTATAAAGCAAAGTAAATTTGTTATAATTTGGATACAGAATGAAAGAGGTGCCATCTTTTTAGAAATCATCTTTATAAATCCCCCTTGTAATTTCTTAGAAATAATTCTTTTTCTGATTGTTGGGGGCAATACATGTTTACTATAGAAACTTAACAGACATGTACAAAAAAATAGTTTCCCATAATTATGTGACTTAAAGACATATACTGTTAATATTATGGTGAATATCTTTTTTGTTTTATTTTAAATGTACACATACATAACTTTTTAAGGCAGAAATGGCAATATGCTGTATCCACTGTGTTAGAGATTGTCATTTTTATTCAGTAATAGTGATATAGTGATTTTTTTCGTAATGTCAATTTGATATTTCTCTGTGGTTTAGTTGAACAATGTTTAAAAAGTTTTTTATTGTAAGACACAATTGGAAAAAGTCAAACATTACAGAAATATATAAGAAAAATTTCTTGCAATCATATTTCTCCAGCTATAGCTATTAATAGTTATTACATTATTTTTTATGACAGATAGTGATGTTGTAATATGATTTTTTTTGGCTGTTTACATTGCATTGGATTGATGTTTATTTAGTCAATTTCCTAGTGTTTTGGTTGCTTCTAATTTATGTTGTATTTATAGATAACATTGAATTGAACACCTTTCTACATATGTATCTCTGCTTATTTCCTTAGGTTAAATTCCTAGAATTAAAATCACTGTGTAAAAGGGGATGCACAGACTTAAGGTTTTCTGTTTAACTTGCCTTCTAGAAAAGTTGTGGCAGTTAACGTTTCCTGCAGCAGTGCATCAGATTGTTCATATTCACATGTATACTCCTGAACTCTGGCAGTGTTTTCTTTCCTTTTTCTATTCTGATTGGTAAAAACTAGTATATAGTTTTAAGTCAATTTTTCCTCTTAGTGAAAGTGATGATTTTCTCATGCTTATTGACTAATTTTTGTCCTGTTAATTTTTCTGTTTTTCTCTTAGTTTCTTTTTTTATTTGAATAAGCTCTTTTTTTCTGTTAAGGATATCAACACTCCAAGAACAAGAATAGTCTGTTTGCTTAACTAAATCATAGGCGTTTACTTTTCTTGGTGCTATTATATACTATTTTAATTGCATAAACTTAAAAGTACTTTCAAAAAAATTTTAATTAATTAACTTTTTAGATTTTTAAAAAATTTTTTCCTTTTTCTCCCCAAAGCCGCCTGGTACATAGTTGTGTATTTTTAGTTGTGGGTCCTTCTAGTTGCGTCATGTGGGATGCCGCCTCAGCATGGCTTGATGAGTGGTGCCATGTCCACGCCCAGGATTTGAACCGGTGAAACCCTGGGCCCACGAAGCAGAGCTTGTGAACTTAACCACTCGGCCATGGGGCCAGCCCCTAAAAATTTTGTATTGAGTAGACTTGCTGTTCAAGTTTGTTTTTAAGTAACTTTTGTATACTATTATCTAATAAATGCCCGTTGTATCTTCTTTATGATGTAAAAATATTAAGCTAAAATAAATTTGATAATTGTTAGATTACTTATGTTTAAAATGAAGAATAGAAGACTAATAGGCATTATTTTGTGACCAGCTTATTAATCTTTCACTGATTTAATCAAACTTATTTTATTTTTTTCTCTGCTGATAGCTACAAGTGTATTCATCAGAGTTTGGAGGATAATAATAGATGTCCCAAGTGTAACTATGTTGTGGATAATATTGACCATCTGTATCCTAATTTCTTGGGTGAGTCTTTGGAATGATTTTTAATTTTTTTAAATATTCTATCCCCAAAAGTGTATGCTGTCACTAATTTTTTCAGAAAACATAGCTTTGAGGTAAGCAAGTCTCTTTCTCCTCCCCACCAGGGTGCTTTTCTTAATCGTCCTTGGGTTGTGACATAGATCTCATACCTTATGTTGTTAGTATCATATCATTATTTTTAAGGTGCATAAAAAAAGTTGACGACACAACTCTTAGATTCTTACACAGATGGCTGGACAGAATATGAGGCCGAAGGAGAGTGCTAGAGGTCTAGAATATTTCTTTATACAGTGTTGTACATTCCTGCTGTTTCTGCCTCTGGGTCAGAAGTGAGAAGCAATGGAGGAAAGAGTTAATGGAGAGGGAGAAGGGGGGAAAAACCTTGGGTATGAGGATTCCTGGAAAGGGGAAGGAGAGTCTGTGACCTAGGGATGCTATTGAAATGTTAGAACGAGGTAAGGAAGACATGGATATAGAACTATTCAGAGAGGATTGGTAACTGGAGAAGAGACACGCAAATGGGGAATCTTTAAGGTAAATGATTGGAAGTAATATGTAGTCAGAGACCAATTGTGAGTATCTAAAAGTTCTACAAGTTGAAAAGCCTAAGATACTGTGGGAAATTTTTAGTCTGATTTTTTAGGAATGAAGATTAATTTTCCAAAGATTAATTTTCAGATATGGGGGTAGTTGTGAAGTAGGGCAGTGTTGAATATGTATATCAAAAAAGTTAATTCCTCATTCTAAAGAATAACATACTCAGAGTTAGGGTGTGATGTCTATTTGTATATTAGATCTGACCTGCCAGAGCTTCTCTTGCAATTTGATTTTGCTTAGCTCAAATGGTGGTTTATAATAAATCATGAATTTGAAACTTTTCAGCTTTCCTTTTTACCTCTGCTCTAAAATTACATTAGCTACGATCCTTTTACCTCTTTCACTCTTCACTTCAATCCAGTATCTTTTCATGAAGGGAAATCAGATTGCCTAGCAGAAAGGAACTCTGAAGGAAACATTTTGAAGATTTTCTATTGGAATACCAAGTTCTTCTAGGTAGATAAAGTTTTATGGCCATCTTGGAGAGGGAACTTAGGAAAAGAAGAAATATTGAGTGATACGCTACTCTGCAGGATTGGACTTCATGGGCTGGGTTAGGTAAAAGGGAAGCCAAAGCCCTGCAAAGCAGAATCCTTTGTCAGTGTTTGTACCTGAACTTGCAAACCTGGATTCACTGATGCTGCTGTGTGGCCTCTGGAATTATTTTTCTGTCAGTTGTCGTAACTTTAGAAAACTGCTTCTTCTTTTGGAATAGTTAAATACAGAAAGGAACCTAATGTTTTGAAGATTTTGGTATTTACTAAATTTTTCAGGTGATATTCCTTAATGAGTCCATAAGTTAGAAATTCTACTATATGAATTTCTAATTAGTGAGAGAAGGAGAGCACTATAACTAGTATGGAAGGAATTTAAAAATATAGTACTATTTAAGTTGGAAAGTGATTTCATATATTATATATTCTGAAATATATATATCTAGTGAATAAGGAAGTCACAATTACTAATTTTCTAAGCTAGAAATTATCTTTTTGGTGATCTCGTCTTTAACCTTCTCTTTTCATGGATAAAAATTAATGTTTTGAGTAATTGGAGTGTAAGTATTTTATGCCGTTATTTGAAGCCTTTTAATTATAGTGCAGCTTCCAATATGATTATATATGTCAGCCCATGGAAATAACATTTCATCCTGATGTATCTATTTTTGTTTTTCTGCCTGTCACACATTCCAGTCTTTGCCTTTGTACAGTGATGGTCAAATCCTAGGTTTCCACAGTAGGAAGACAGGGATTATGTCTCCAGTGCACTCAGGATGCCACTGGGATCTCTTTCTTTCTTTCTTTTTAATAGATTGGTACCTGAGCTAAAATCTGTTGCCAATCTTATTTTTTTCCCTTCTTCTCCCCAAAACCCCCCAGTACATAGTTGTATATTCTAGTTGCAGGTGCTTCTAGTTGTGCTATGTGGGATGCCACCTCAGCATGGCCTGATGAGTGGTGCTAGATCCACACCCAGGATCCAAACCGACGAAACCCTGGACAGCTGAAGTGGAACATGTGAACTTAACCACTTGGCCAGGGGGCCTGCCCCAGCACCCTTCACTTTTAATGCTGTACATTTATCTGAGTCATGGGTAGAGGACTGGGCTACACATTTTCTATAGCAGTGGTCTTCAAATCTTTTTGCTTGGGTTACCCGTATAAAAATTCTGAAAAATGATGTACTTCCTTATACATTGATGCCACATTTTAAATTAGCATCCAGAATTTTTCCTTATAAGATTAAGTGATTGTAAAGGATGTAATTTTAGGAGTATTGTAAATATGGTTATTTAAAAATAAAACTTTTAGAGTCTGGCCCCATGGTCTGGTGCTTTAAGTTCTGCGTGCTCTGCTTTGATGGCCCTGATTTGTGACTTCAGATCTTGGTGCGGACCTACTCCACTCATCAGCCATACAGTGGAGGCATCCCACGTGCAAAACAGAGGAAGATTGACACAGCTGTTAGCTCAGGGCTAATCTTCCTCAAGCAAATAAAAGAGAGGAAGATTGGCAATGGATCTTAGCTCAGGGCAAATTTTCCTCACCAATAAAAATAAAATAAAAATAAAATAAAATAAAATAAAATGCATTTAAAGGGGCTGGCCCCGTGGCCAAGTGGTTTAAGTTTGCGTGCTCCACTGCAGGCGGCCCAGTGTTTCATTGGTTCGAATCCTGGGCGTGGACATGGCAGTGCTCATCAAGCCATGCTGAGGCAGCGTCCCACATGCTACAACTAGAAGGACCTACAGCGAAGAATATACAACTGTGTACTGGGAGGCTTTGGGGAGAAAAAGGAAAAAAATAAAATCTTTAAAAAATAAATGCATTTAAAAATAAAACTTTTTGGGGCCAACCTGTGGGCCGAGTGGCTAAGTTCGTGTGCTCTGCTTTGGCGGCCTAGGGTTTCACCTGTTTGAATCCTCGGTGCAGACCTATCACCACTCATCAGGCCATGCAGAGGCGGCATCCCACCGCCCTCATCCCCCTGCAGTTCTCTCCCCGACTCCTGCCAAGGCTTGCTCTCTAGCTCTCCCTATCCCTTTATGGCATGAGACCTCTCTCCAGCTGCCTCTGTCTCTCTCTAGGAGTCTCTTTTCTAGCTTTCTCTTTATATAATATTTGTAAATTGAAATAAAAATCTCCCTAATGAATGACCCTCTTACTCTTTAATGTAAAGGACAGCATGCATGCAGAGTCTAAAATCTGTGTTTTAAAAAAAGTACCTAATGCATGTAACATCCTTACTACTGCCAGGCATTGTCTTATGTGCTTGACATATGTTAAGTCATTTAATTCTCAGCCCTATGAGTTGAGTACTCTTGTTGTCATCCTCCTTCGTCAGGCGAAGAAACTAAGGCACAGAGAAGTTGAGTAATTTGCATAAAGTTATACAGCCAGTAAGTGGCGGAATTGGGATTAGGTCCTAAGCAGTCTAACTCAAGAGTATGTGTTTTTACTATACTATCCTGCATTTAAAAAGACAGTTACTAGAATGGAATCTTTAGCAGTAAAAATGCATTGTTTGTTCTTAGTACTATGGCTGTTATAAGGATCTAGAGAATTATAATTATGGATATGGAATATCTTTCAGATTCAGTGGTATAAGAGATTTCTCAGAATGCAGTGTGGTATACACATGTATAAAGTATTACAATTATTTGTGACAATTTTTATGTAAATAGTTAATTCGGTAGCTGAAACATTAAACTCTTATTCACATACTCCTCTTTATTCCCGCTATGTTATTTCAAGCTCTTTTCCTTTATCTTTCCCAGATTATAGTAATAACTTTGCTTATGAGATACGTACCAGGCTTTTCAGAATCAGGCTCTGTTTCCAGCCCTAGTTCTTAGCCCCTCTTAATCATTAACAAAATCACTGACCCTGTATTTCAGTCAGGTTGATTTTAAAACATCTTATCTCTTGCTGTTTTATGACTTAACGCCCCCCCCCCCGCCCCCCCATCTGAATTATTTTCCGCTTCTCTTTCTGTTTAGTGAATCTATATGCCTGTTATGGTCCAATTCTAATGTCACCTTCTATGCGAAGCTTGCTCGTTAACATTTTGATAACAACACAAAGGTCTTGTGTTTCTTGTAAATCTATTTCAGTGATGTTACTGATTATCATGTTACGTTACTACTGTATCATATGTATTTGTCTTCCTACTCTGAGTTGCTTGAGTCTTGGATTGAGCCTTTCTTAGTTTGAGTCTTGTCTTTGAAGCTTAGATCCCTAGTGTGGGCATGGTACCTCTCTGGTTTGTTTGCAAATATTTATGGTTGGATTGTGATATATAGTGGAAAATATTAAATAGTTGGGTTTGTCCCAACTCTGTCTTGTGTTATATGTCACCACAAGTAAGTTCCTTCATGTCTAAAGTGGGGAGAATAATCCGTACCATAATGTTTATAAACTAAAGTGCCTACCTACCCTAGTGCTCGTTTCCCTTTTCTTTATCAGGTTTTTTTTTTTTTTTTTTTTTGGTATCATTTGGCTATTAAAGACAAAAATCCAATTAAAAGTGGCTTAAACATTAAGGAAACTGTATTGAATCACACAAAAAGAATTTCTACAACTAGTTAATTCATTGGTTCAGTGATACTGAACAACTTCAGCAAGTTCTTTCCATCTTTCTGTTCCTCCATCCTCAGGATATGCATTGGTGCTTTGGCTAGCTACCCTCAAGCTTGCAAAGTGGCTCTAATCACTTCCAGATATCATCCGTTACTGAAGGCATAGAAGAAAGTTGTTTTCCTCCTATCCTCTTCTTTCTGAAAGACAGCACACCTCTCATTGATCAAAACTAGGTCACAGGGGCTAGCCCCGTGGTGCAGCTGTTAAGTACGCATGTTCTGCTTCGGCGGCCCGGGGTTCACCAGTTCGGGTCCTGGGTGCGGACATGGTACTGCTTGGCAAGCCATGCTGTGGTAGGCGTCCCATATATAAAGTAGAGGAAGATGGGCACGGATGTGAGCTCAGGGCCAGACTTCCTCAGCAAAAAGAGGAGGATTGGCGGCAGATGTTAGCTCAGGGCTGATCTTCCTCAAAAGAAAAAAAAAACTTAAACCCCATGTCAATCACTGGCAAAGGTATGAATGACAAGATTGGCTTAGGTTAGTCGAGAATTATACTGTGGGACTTGGGAGGGATCTAACCTCTCTGAAAGTATGTGGCAATCTGACACTTGGATGAAAAAAATCATATTGTTGTTAAAACAAAAGGGTAGGATGGTTTTTGAATAGCTAACTGACAGTGTCTGCCATGATACTTATAGAAAAGTCACAAGCAAAAAGAAGAACTAAAAATCTTTAGTGCCTACCTCATAGAATCTACCAGTTACCATGTAAAGCATGGAACAGTCTTACACAGTGAAGGATTCTCTCTCTCCAAGTGCCAGTAGTGTCGTCATCGAGACGTGTAAGAGAAAGTACAGATTCTGAAGAACTCTCCTCCTGTAGTAATGGTAGTAGTAATAATAGCAGTTGTAGTGGTAATAACTGTGGCAGAACTGTTTCTAATTTGAAATAAAAGAAAAACCTAGCATTTTCTGCTTAGCATCTTTTAACTTTTGGGCTTTTTAAAGTTAAAATAGAATCCATCGATATAGAACAGTTAGATGATACATTTAACAAAAATTCAAATTATGTGTGCTTTTTGTTTTGTTTCTCTTTTCAGTGAATGAGCTCATTCTCAAACAGAAACAAAGATTTGAGGAAAAGAGGTTCAAATTGGACCACTCAGTGAGTAGCACCGTATGTTTCAACTCTTATTACTATTCTTAATAAATTTCAATTTATTGTTTTTATTGGTTTACTATTAGATATTAAAGTTTAGTATATTATTCATTTTTTAAAAAAGATTTGTTTAAGATTGTTCTGTTCAATAAAGAACTTTCTTAACTGCATTGTCTAAAATTTACTCTGGTGATCATCTTCTGAAAGGTCTGCTGGGATCACACTGAGTCAGAGTTGGCTTGTAGTACATGACATTTGAAGGATTATATGGCAGGATAAAACCATGGGTGGTAATTTGGAGAAACTCTTGAAAGATTCTGGATTTAAGAGGATTAGCCCCAAATTATTGAGCAAGTGAGCTTAAATTAATACCTTAATTTATAATAAATAATAATAATAAATTCATAAATCCAGGCATTTATTTTCAAGGGAATTATACCTTCTGAGATGCTGACTTGACATTTGTCTTTCATGTCTGTTATCTAAATTCATTTAAGGGAGAAATGTTGTTCAAATTATAATTAGAAGGCAGTGGGCAGCCACTAGCTGGGAAGGAGTAGGTTGCAACATTATAGTATATTATTGATATCTGTGTAATAAACATTTTTGGAAATAGTTAAACATTTGGTTTAGACTTTCTAAAACAATCTTTTTAGGAAGTTGATTTCTTTTCTTCCTTTTTAGAATGGCCATAGGTGGCAAATACTTCAGGATTTGTTGGGAACTGACCAAGATAACCTTGATTTGGCCAATGTCAACCTCATGTTGGAGTTACTAGTGCAGAAGAAGAAACAACTGGAAGCAGTAAGTGGCTGCTGCACTTTAAAAAATTTTGTTTTAAGTGTTGCTCTTCGCTGCATTGGAAAATATCTAGAAATGTTTAAAAATTATAGGGTAGTGCTGCTCAATCCATGCAGTTTTATTCAGCAAGAAACATCTGCAAGGTATCACTTCTAACAGATTCCCCTTTTTCAAGTAAAAGAAAGAATAAATTCCTTATATTATAATATAACTTACTTGCAGTGGCCAGTTTGTATTAAAAGCTGAGTCTTAAGAAAGATCATGAGAAAGTACAGTTTCATTTTAATAGGAAGCAATTTTATTCGTCATTTTTCTTCTAATGAATATCTTCCTTGCCAAATCTTCCCTCTTCACATATGAAGTTTGGAGGAGAAAATAGAGATGATTGTTATCTATATAAAATCCTTCCAGCAGGTGTCCATTGGCAGCAGCAGTAGTCTATAGCTTAACTAAGGGCATTTAGAAAGATGGGAACTAGAACTAAATATATCCTTTTTCATGTGATGAAATGTAAATCTGCATTTATTCCATGTAAATAAATGTAAAAATGCAAAATGTAAATTTGCATGTATTAGTCAAGAATTGAATATGATTCATTATAAGCAGCACACACCCTAGCATAAGCAAATACCTACCCTGACCTAACTAAACAAAAAGGTAGTATTTATTGACAGGAGAAGGGAGTGAGTAGCTCACACTCATAAAAAGGAAGAGCTTAACAACCAGCTGTTGGGAAGATTGGAACCATGGCTTCTCTGGAGACTATAAGGAAATGAGATCAGGCACTTGAATGTTGTTGGGAGTCTTTCTTTTGTGCTTGTTGTATCAATTTCTTTAGGACAGGTCTGGTTTTCTTTTTGCAGATTTTTATCACATGGTGGATAGTGTGCTTATTTGCACTTCCTCATTTATTTTTATGTTTTTTGATAAAAGAAGAAAAGGAGTTTTTCTTTTCAAATTTAGTTTAACAAATTCTGTGGCTAGATTCTGGTTAACATAGCTTGCATCTGGATCTCACCTAATAGAATGGGAATCGTTTAGAAGGAGAAAGGAGTAGCTGAGGGTGAGCTGACCAAAATGAGTCTCCCATGCTGTGTCTTTTTGGGGGGCAGAGTTGAGGGAAATTCTCCTTTGTTTTTTTTTGGGGGGGGTTATCTTTTATTTTTTCTTTTAGTTTTGTTGAGATGTAATTGACATACAGCATATGTCAAGGTGTACAGGATAATGACTTGACATTCATATATTGGGAAATGATTACTGCAACAAGTTTAGTTAACATCCGTTATCTCATACAGATATAAAACGAAAAAGAAAAAATATGTTTTTTTCCTTGTCACGAGAACTTTTAGGATTTGTTAGCAGCTTTTAAATATATCATCCATAGTGTTAACTATAGTCATCATATTGTACATTACATCCTCAGTACTTATTTATAATTGGAAGTTTGTACCTTTTGACCACCTTCATCCAATTCCCTCACCCCCTGCTTTTGGTATCCACAAATCTGATCTCTTGTCTACGAGTTTGGTTTCTTTTTTAAAGTTTTTATTTCTCCTTTTTCTCCCTGAAGCCCCCCAGTACATAGTTGTATATTTTTAGTTTTGCGTCCTTCTAGTTGTGCTATGTGGGATGCCGCCTCAGCATGGCCTGATGAGCAGTGCCATGTCAGCGCCCAGGATCCGAACTGGTGAAACCCCATGCCGCCAAAGCGGAGTGCACGAACCTAACCACTCGGCCGTAGGGCTGGCTCCTGAGTTTGGTTTTTTTTGGTTATTTTTTAAGATTCCCTATATAGGTGAGATCATACAGCACTTTTCTTTCTTCGTCTGACTTATTTCACTTAGCATAATGCCCTCAAGGTCCATCCATATTGTTGCAAATGGCAAGATTTCCTTCTTTTTTGTGTCTGAATAGTATTCCATTGTATATATACCACATATTTATGCATTCATGCATTGATGGACACTTAGATTGTTTCCGTGTCTTAGCTATTATAAATAATGCTGTAGTGAACAAGGGAATGCAGATATCTCCTCAACATAGTGATTTGTTTTCCTTTGGAAATATACCCGGAAATGAGATTGCTGGATCATATGATTGTTCTATTTTTAATTTTTTGGGGAACCTCCATATTGTTTTCCGTAGTGGCTATACCAGTTTATATTTCCACCAAGAGTACACAAAGGTTCCCTTTTCTCTACCTCCTCACAAGCATTTATCATCTCTTGTTGTTTTGATAATAGCCATCCTAACAGGTGTGAGGGGATATCTCATGGTTTGAATACGCATTTCCCTAATGATTTGTGATGTTGAGCACCTTTTCATGTACCTGTTGGCCATCTGAATATCTTCTTTGGAAAAATGTTTATACAGGTCCTTTGCCCATTTTTAAATTGAATTTTTTTCTTTTTTGCTATTGAGTTATATGAATTCTTTATTTTTTTTGGATATTAACGTCCTATCAGATATATGATCTGATATTTTCTCCCATTCTGTAGGCTGCCTTTTTATTTTGTTGATGGTTGCCTTTCCTGTGCAGAGCTTTTTAGTTTTATGTAATCCGACTTGTTTATTTTTTCTTTTGTTGCTTATGCTTTAGGTGTCATGTCCCAGAAGTCATTGCCAAGACTCTCCTATGGTTTTAAACATAGTTTTTTATTAGCATCTACCATGTGCTAGGTATTATGTTAAGGGCTGTAGAAAAGACAGACAGGGTTCTGCTTTGCGTGTGTGTTGGGGATGGGATGAGGAGATAAACTAAATCAATTAAGTAAATATTTTCACATAGTGATAAATGATATAAAGAAACTTCTCTCTGATGGATTGAACATATGCAGTTACCTTGTTCCTATAAAGCTATGAAAATGAGAGTGAAGAGATTTTAAGAAGGCAAAAGAATGGGACAAGAGACAATGGCAGCAGCATTTTGTAAGCTATAAAGCAGATGGATGAAAAGTAGTCGATTAGGAGATCTGAGAAGGCTGAATACTGAGCCAGCAGTGGGGGAATAGCTAAGAACCAATCCTGTTTGTATTGTGGAACAAAGGCCTTGGAATTGAGAGCATTAGGTACCTCATGTAGTAAGGGCTGAAAACATGTTGATTGATTGAGAATCAGATTAAGAAGCAATTGGAATCTCTGATCCTTTCCTATACAACTCACAGCAAATGATTCTCCGTTTTCTACCTTAGAACGCTAGAATTTTTTCCCCCTGGTGGTGGTAAAAGAGGTTCTCTGGACTATTGCACGACAGGCACACTTCAACATGGGGGTACCATACTGAAGATAGATAAGCTTACATGTCGAAGGTGAGAACTGTTAACTTTCTTCCCACCTTTTGATTTGCCAACATTAATTTTTGCTTGCTTTTTGGCTTTTTGTCTTAGATTGAAGAAATACACGTATCTTAGTTTTAGACCACAGATCCTTTTCTATTTTTTGAAGAGGAACCCAGTTCAGAATCAAAGTTCCTATCACAGGTTTTATAGCTTTCTTTCATTATTGTTTTCCTGTTTAACTTTGTATTATTATTTAACTTGAATATTTCCAACATACAGAAAAATACAGAAAATGAGACTCTTGAAATACCTCATCTCAGTTTTAATAAATATTTACAGTTTGCCATATATGTCTTAGATCTGATTTTTTGAGAATTAAATTTTTTTTATACTTAAAGCCCTCTCATCTCATTCCATTCTCCCAGAATGACCAACATATGAAATTGGCAAGGATCCTTCTCAAGTGTCTATATGCTTTCTTCATATATTTGTATCTACAACTATATAAAATGTTGTATAGCAGTTGTATAATTTAGAAGTTTATATAAAGAGTTTCCTACTGTAGTTATCCTTTTGACATATGCCTCTTTACTTTTTGAGGTTCATCTTGATAAATATATAGCTAGTTTATTTATTTTAACTTCTCCATAGTAATCCATTGCATGAACATATCTAGTTCCCTTTTGATGGACATCTAGGTTCTTCCCAGTTCTTAGCTATTATTGTCAGTACTCCATTTAATATTGTTATACATGTCTCCTTGTGCTGAAATATATACACTTAGTGATTTAAGGAGTGGAATTGCTGTTCATAGGGTTTGCATGCACATTTTAACCTTACTAAATATTGCCAAATTGCTCATCTGTGGGTTTGTACTGTGTCAGTTCTTGGTATTTTTTCTTTTTTAGTTTCTGCCAATCTGATGGTTGTCAGATGCTTGTGTGTGTGTTTGTTTTGCATTTCTGTGTTTACTAGTGAAGTTGAGAATTTCATTTGTTTGGCTCTCTTGGTTTCTTATTGGTGAATTACCTATCCATATCCTAAACCTATTTCCTTACTAGATTATTTGTCTTTTTTCTTACTGATTTGTAAGACGGGGTATGTGTGTGTGTGTGTGTGTGTGTGTGTGTGTGTGTGTGTATTTTGGATATTGCTACTTTGCCAAATATATACTTCAGTAATTGAATTCTGGTTGAATTGCATTGTGGTTAGACAACATGATTTATGTGATTTTAGATTGAATACTTTTCATGATTCCATTTTATTTGCATTGTTGGCTTATCAAATAGAACTTTTTGTTCTGTTCTTTAGTGGTTTCTTTCAGGTTTTTAATACAATTGTTATTACATTGTACCTTCAAGTAATATTGTCCCACTTCATCTGTATTATAAGAACCTTACAACAATATGCTTCCATTTCCTCTCTCCTGACCTTTGTACCATTTTTTGGTCACATATTTTATTTCTAAATATCTTATTAACCCCAAAATAAATGTTACTAATTTTGGTTTAAACAGTAAATTATGTTTTATGGAGATTTTTTAAAAGTCTTATATGTACCCATATATGTACTATTTCTGGCGCGCTTGTTTTGTTTTCCATTCATTCTTTTGCATTGTGTCAGTAATTTTCCTTCTGCCTAAAATACTTTTCTTTGGGGCAAATCTGTTGGTGATGAGTTCTTTCAGCTTCTATGCCTAATAAAATCTTTATTTTGCTTTTGTGT